GCAGAATAGCAAATTTTAAAAAATCAGCTCTGCTCAGAGCAGGTTGTTCTATTTTTCTTGTAAAATTGCATCGGTTTCAAACGAAATCAACCATTTCGCCTATCAGCTGCTACCCTGTTACTAAATATAACCAACTCAGAGCCATTAACTGCCCACGTACCGCAGTCAGATTTGTCTACAAGGGTATCAAGGCTGACGTATAAGGGCCGCTTGAGGGTACGGTGTTTGTCTTCGATCATTTCAGCTGCCTACGCTTCTAGTAATTATCGCTTGACAATTCTCTTTCCGTCGTGGACCAGGTGTTTTTTATGATTGTCTGCATTTGCTTCTGAGCTTTCAACGCCACTTACCCCATCTGAGAACCCTTCCGATGGTTGTGTATTACTCTGCCCTGACTACTCGCTGCCTTTTAATCTTGCTAGCATTTCAGTTACTGGGTGATGACGTCAGTGACCAGCTTGGTACTATGCGGGATATGTTTATTTGTGATCGGCAGCTATTCCTGGCCATTACCTTCTGAGAAGAATTTCGGAAATTTGTACCGATGCATGAACAGGTATGTGCTTACCGATTCCAGAAAGGGTAAGGCAAGGCATGACGCCCTGGCGAATAGTTACGTCAGCATAGCCCAGGGGTTTTCTCCTTCCCCATCCTCCAACAACAAGGGAGAACTGTCAGTCGGAAGGGGCAGGTAAGGGATTATGTATATGACCGTCAACAATTAATTTGATAAGCTTTGAATAACACAGGTGCTTGTACGATTTGCTGATTTGAAAGCTGATTTAAATTTCTTTGAAATTCATCAAACTACTGCACAATACAGAATCGTTCCCACTACGCGAATCAACCACTTCTTTCCCAAATAAACAAACCATGCAGATGTCTTCTGCATCTTCGGTGGAAGGCAAAATAAAGTTCTGTTAGGTTTCTTGGAATGCGCCCCTGCACCTAGAAAGCTTATGTGATCCAACATGGTACCGATTTGGGAACCGATCCCTGGAGCATGCACGTGGAACAATGCGCCCTTACCGCTACACCACCTCCTCTCATAGTACAACATACCCAAAAAATCTGATTCAAAGCTCGAGAAGGCCCAAATTTGCTGTTTGATTCACTATTCCCTTATAACAATCCTTGTGAATACAGTAATCCTATAAGCCACAAGTGTGGTCATACCTTTTCAACTTTTCTATTCAAAACTAACATCAATACTGAGGGGTTGTTGAGAAAAAAGGTCGGCAGCCCTTCAAATTTCATTAGCTTCTACTATTTTAGGCGATCACATGTTTCCAATGAGCTTGCTGGCAATGATGATGGGTCAGTCTCAGGTCCGTTGCTCATTTTTTCTAAAAATTTTTAAAACATACATATTTGCAGAGAATCTCACACAAACTTCTTTTTTTTCTTTCTCAGCTATCCAACCCCTACCAAAGCGGGTCGGTCCGAGAACTAGTCGACAGGGGATAATTAGAGGAATTTACGAGCAATTTCTTATATCGACCATAGTACTGAAACGAATTCCAAGTACTATCCATAAAGGTGGGCGGAGGTGGTGTAGTGGCAAGTGGTGCCATAAGCATACTCACGGGTTCGAATCCCGGATCGATATCCGCCTAGGCCAACCAAGCCTTCCGCCCCTTCGGGTTCGGTTAAACTTAGTGGTACCCAGACTCGTCTGGGAGGATAAAAGCACCGAATTGTACATCGTGGACAACAAAATATGTGGGTACAGGCCACTTCTTGGATTGGAGTTGAAACTCTTCCATTCTTTTTTACGCTGCTTGTCCTGTCATAATGTTTGAGGACTGCGCCAGAGAGCATGAGTCCCGGTCCATATCCGACGGTTCCTAATTTTTTGCATTCGTCTAAAAGCCCGTGCCTTAGAAGCTCAGTTTTCTTTCATTACCCTTCGTGCTTTTCTTTCAAGGGCATCGGTTCTATCAGCTAGCTGGTTTTCCTATATTGCGTAGGCCATGAAATCTTTTTATGGCGGATGTCGTCACATATTTTCACCTGCTCAGGGCTTAAGTTCACAGGTCGAAGACCAATGAGCGACTTACTGGTCAGAAACCTATACGGGAACCTAGACAAACCTAACTTGTACGAAGTGAGATCGGTGAAAAGCTGGTAAAAAATCTGCTGTCATTGTTATCTTTCTGTTCTGGAAGAAGAAGCAAAGCCGTCTGGAAAACTAGAATTTTGAAAAGCATAAGGAGAAAGTTTGGCTTTGAGGAGCTAGGAGCTAAAAGCCATCCAAGCTATCCTTCCTCGTCAGTGCGCTTACTCATTACGCTACCGAGGCCGCTCCCTGGGCTTTCTGGAGGTTCATTTCAATGTGTTCATAGATATCTCGTCCTAAACTCTTCCCTAAAAGCAAATAAACGAACTAAGAGGCAGTCGATGATCCCAGATCTGGAGATTATACCGATCTGCTGTTGGTGGTCAACACCCATTTGGAGGACATGCGGAAACCATAAAGTGATACCGACATTGAACAGTAGAGTTCAACCTTGGCACACCTCCCTTTTAATTCCTCATTCAGGCTTTTTTTTGGTTATACCCTTCTTTTCTTCTTCTTTTGATTCCTTTGCTTTTTTCCTATGTAATTCAATGGTGCATAATAATAATAATTTAAGAGCAATTACATATTTTTAGAAGAGATGAGCTTTTTTCAGCTGAAGACGAGTACTGCTCGAAGCTTCTTCAGCAATTCCCATGGCAAAGTCCGCAATGCATTTTTTCGCCGATCAGATGTCTATTTCGTGCTGAACTTAGAAGAATTCGGCGAAATTTCCCTCATTTCAAAAAGACGGGGCAAAAGCTTCAGCCGATGTAGTCTTGCTGGCTTAATATTGTTCTTTATACAATTATTCGACTGAATAAATTGTTTGAACTTTGTTATGCCTCTCTTCAGTCGAAGGAGAGAATTGCCAATCTTGTGTAGGCAATCATTCCATTGTTGTAGGTAGTATCGGGTCAGAATCTCTCTTTCCAGAATCAGAAGTTGAAATTGAGCGAGATTGGAAATGGCAAAATTACTGCAATGATCCCTAGAGCATGCGAAATTGCGAAAAAATCAAAGTGAAGGACAAATGCCCTTTTTTAGAATGTCCAGGGACAAATTAAAAATCTAGGACGAATCGCCGACTTTGAAAGTAACTCGGATGTGAACCCAAGTTCGAGCAGGGGCATTTTCGCATTCCAAACACGCAGACAACACTCTGTGCAGTGACCATGTTGTCCTAAATGGGAGTTTTTTTGTGCATGTGTAATTGACGGAAGATGTAGGATGTGTGTATTGAAGTAGGGCGTCTAAGGACGTCTTTATTACGGGTCTTATAAAATGTTTAGCTAGAAATAAGTTTATAACCCATAAGTACCACTTGAGCTCTGAACCACTCATTAGAATTTTAGGCAGATATTATGACACTATCAGTTGAATAACAAATTAATTTTCAGCGAGCATGAGTTCATTACTCACCATAATTCCTCTGATTAAGGTGCTTTTGATAGGATACTTGTAACTCAGTATTCTCCTGTACATTTACATATCTTAACTTATGTATTTATTATATAAGTTATCATAAGTTACTGTTCTCCCTTACCCTACTGAAAAGCACAGAGGGAGAGTATCGTAAAGTTCGGCTTGTGTCTAGGGCACGTGCGAAACGGAAGCTAAACTACTTATTTGATTTGTTCCCCCCTTATAATTTGTACTACTTTGTCATAACGTTATCGTTGGTAATAATTAATTAGGTTAGGTTATTAATGCCGTAGTATGAAATATGATGTCCGTGAAGCTATGCGTATGCGATGCATTTGATTTCACGACAAGCTTAATGGACTGTTCTGGCGGTTCTCCTGCTTCTGCAGTGTACAGCTTCTGTTTGCTGAACGGAACACCTAATACATATATGCCATATACGAGAACGAGATTATTTGGCACGCAGCCAGCCAACGAATCTGTTAGCGTGACAAGTAATCCTGTACGGTGGCCGGCGGATTACTTCAAATAGATAAAGAGGCGCTTGTCAAACTTCGTCCGGCGGTTTCATATCATCTTTCTGTTTAAAATGGAATTGATTCACAGAGGGGAAGGTGGAAAGACGACATGGCCGTCAGTGAATTCGACTCAGCCCACTCTTTGCTGAAAATTCACAAGTACACCGATTTGCACACCGGCTGGCTCCAACACTGGGGAGAAAGTGACCTCTAATATGTGGCTCTGCATGATTGTATGGTTCAGGGCAGGAAGTGATTTGCCACAAACGTGGTCAGATGATAAATTCTAGAGCCCATATGCGCTAATACCCAAACTCTTCATTTTTCCCTGAACTATTAGGGGGTACAATATTCTGCCAATAAGAGAGGAAGAGGCTGATCCACAGTTTTCCCATTATGAAACTCGTACAACCACTTTTTCCTCTTTTTTTTCGGCCGTTTGTTTTTCTTTTTTTTTCGCTGTTTTTAGCGTTTTATGCTTTACCTTTGTCCTAGTGTAGGCCTTACCTATCACTATCTCTGAAATACCGGATACCCCTAAATTATCCTGAACTGTGCCTTTAAGCGTGGCCACAACATGTATCTGGCAAGGACTCACTCGGCAACATCTAACCTCATTCTGGACCCGCTCATGGCTCTAACAATAGTAATGGCGTTTGAATGCCTATGAGGCTTTCGCAAATATAGGACTTGCGGGACCTGCGATGTCCCAGCTACCGCCTTTACCCTCGATTTTAATTGTCCTTCCTCGAAGTGGAAAATTGGTTAGTCTTGGCAGGTACTGGCGTAGAACCAATCCTCGAACACGTGCCGCCGGTACGCCACTTGGCACTGTCCCGTTTCGTCATTGGCAAGCTTAACATTAGTTCGGGACAATTAAATTTTTATTAGGTGTAATTAAATATAAGGCAGTACAAGAACAAAATGTGCATAGTGAGGTAAGTGAAGGGCTGATGTCGACCAGAAATTCACGAAATGCCGTCATCTGTAGAATGGAATCATTCGTAGGGTTTGAATATTGTCGACTTCTTCGGTGGTGGTGGAGGTGGTGGTGGTGACGACACCTCAGCCACACTATCCGACCCTTCACATCTGGAAAGAGGATTTGCTGATTTTTCGTTATTTCACGATCAAAAGAAGTATTCCAAACAACAACTGTATAAGAGTGAGTAAGATACATGATGTAATATAAATAATTAGTATAATCAACTCACTTGCTCTTTTTGAGCACCGGTGGGCCATCGTCACTTTCTCTTTCTACAGATGACCCACTACTCTCCTGCTGTGTACGCCGCCATTTGGCTCGTCTATTAGAAAACCACACCTGAAAGGAGGAAATACAATCAAGAAGAAATCGAAAAAGAACTGGAAAAAGAAGTTCTCAATGACTGAAATTTCAGTACACTGAGCGCATATAGGCGGCGAATCCTAACCCACGTGGAATTGACTATTGTCTAGAACCTTAGAACTCTGCTTTGAGGTTATCGTCATATTGAGGATATGTTTGCAGAGAGCCCATTCCGCTTCTAGGAGATAGGCTTATCCATGGCGAGACGCCTGGTCTAACGTAGCACACCTACCGTGCCGTGTAGGTTGAAGTTTACCTGACCCAACCATTTCTACTATTTCTTTAGCTCAGTCACCGTATGTACAAAGTTTCTGCGTATCTTCCGGTTAGCCATACGGTGGGTGAACCCCGGACAATTAGCCTATCATACGAAGGAAAGTTTCTCAAATGTGAGAACACAGTGGTGCTGAAGGATCCGCCTATCATTGACTGCTTTTGAATTGAAGGCGTTCTTTGATAATTGGTCGAATAAGATTTTTTATAAGCTTAACAGCGTTATTAAAAGTGATGAATTGCGGAGCTGAGGCGCCTTTTACTGGCCTCGTCTATTACGGCCACTCCTCTCACCTGTATTCTTGCTTCTGGGAGTTGTGTGTTCTTCACGAGTTCCATTCGCTGTGCTGTACTTGGGTACGGTTCCTTCACGAATGATGCCTCGAGAAGATCGAGTTGCTCTGGAAGAAAATGATTCGAAGATTTCTTCTTTCAGCACGGACGGTGATCCTCATTGAAACATTGCTACCATTAATGGAAAAGGAATATCGCTCTGTGGGAAAGTCTCCTACGACATCCCTAACATAAAGGACCTATCCTCTCCCAGCCATTCGTAGTTTCCTTGAACCTACGTTCCGGACCATGCTCAGCATTGGCTGATAGAGCGCCTTTCTCGGGATTGAAAAACCACAGGATAATATGACAGCATGACTCCAACTATTATCGGCCGTTATTTCTCAAATCCTCCAGCATTAGCCTTATAGCCTTACTTCCCCATTAAATAAAAGATGGAAGAATGCAATTGCCACGAGCCAGCGAGTTCGGAAACACCCTCAGAAGAATTGCTCCGCACTACTGACGAGGGAGCCTGGCATGCTCCCTAACAAATTCTTCGCAATGTTTTCAAGCAGTGAGAGGTTACCTTGTGAAAAGCTGCTTCGACCACATCTTCTGGAGGATGCGTCATCGTCACTCATGGCTATAGTTTCCGCTGGTGAAGTTGGTGCCATGGATGGAAATGTGGTGAGCAGTGGCGAAGACATCGACGGGAAGCTCGGGTTGAGCACGAAACCTGAAGTATCAATTATTATTTTTTCGAAGAAGTTCTATCATAGAGTAGTTAAGGGACCTGGCCAAAGTGCTTGTTGAAATGCAAAGGGGAACGTCTGTGGAGGGAGACCAATGGAAGGAATGCGAGAGTTCATTCTTTGTTGGCTGAAGTCGTTTCATTTATGATCATTTTCAGATTGGAAAGGAAGGAAGCCTTGCCTTGTCAGATGCTGAACGTTCAAGATCATCGTGAGCTCTTCAGCTGCTCGCTCAGCGGCTCTCGTCCTCAAAATTCGATTGATCGACGACACTGACGGTGGGGTTGAGCATACTGCTGAAATGGAGTAAAAGTAATGGATTGGTAGCCAGCTTAGGACAAATCCATCAGTAAAATATTTTCGATAGCCCCCTATGCCAATCTTTCGAAGCAAAATCACCGTAGTTGAATACAAATGTTGTTTCTTCATTTTCAAATCTTCCAAAATCGTTCCTTCCGACGCAAAAAACGATAAGAGATCTACTTTGAAGTATTCAAGGTCATCTTAGGTTTTCCCCAAGAGCAAATAAGGGAATCGATAGGTTCCCGAAGGTCCCGGATCGGTCGAATATCGGTGATCACGCAACCAAGCTTGACGTACGTAAGTAGTTTTAAGAATATTTTGCTCAACGTGTGGCTGGGCATTTCCATGCGGTCCAGGACCTTCATCTATAGGAGGTAACTGCCTTGGAAGTGCTGCCTTTGGCTGGCCGTCCTATGCAAACTCCCATAGTGTCGCAGTTGTTGACTTGAGATGAACCGAAAGTTACAGCTGCCGGAAGCTTTGACCACAGGGAGAAATGCTTACTTACTCTTCTCACCTTTTATAAAGTAGCATAAATGACAGTTTTCGAGGAGCACTGGTCGCTACCCATAACAATTCCTGATTCCCCTACATTTCTTCCCTCCCATTCAGGCTCGGATTACACAGGAAATCTCTGAACAAAAAAGCTGAGGAAGGACAAGTGTCGGGAGCGGTTGTGCTCCTTTCTGGATTGTCCAGCTTCTTCTCATTTGCTTGCACCCTTTGCAGATCTGCTGTCAAAAGAGGTGCCGCTGACGGTTCAGTCTCACCTATCCGATACTTCTGGCGTTATATGAGTGTCGTGTGGGCAAACATGACGAGCATCGGTCGCTCTCAAACACATATCCCTTCGACAAGGTGCTATGCGGCAATTCAAAGTGGAAATGGATACGGTACTCGACCGAGTCTGCGACTACCCGACCGACGAGGAGTCAAGTGTGCGAATCACTGTGCCCGTGCACTCTCTCTCTAACTAATGCACAAACACTACCATAACCCCTGCTGCGGGAAGCAAAGACACAACGGACAATTGAAACAATGTAAAGCTGTCGATGAGTATTTGAGTTGTACACTATGGTAATGCTATCGCGAACAGCAGCCAGCAGCACCCGACAAACGAACAGCCGTCTACAGCCGTTGTGGCGGAATAAAGAAGCCGAAATGCCGTACCCTCATTGATAAGCCGTTCCCGAATTTCCCAAGCGAATATTGTCGGATTGTCTCGTTTGTACTGCTCGATCTTGGCCACAACTTGAGGGGTGGCTACCTGCAATGAAAATTACTTGAGAGATTCATGAACATGGGTATTCTGGAATGGCCAGGGGAATATTTCGAGCTGGGCGTTTCTCCATAACCTGGGAATACGCCGAATTTCTCTACTCCTCTCGGTTTTGCAAACAAATAAGTCGTTGTCAAATTCATGGCTACGTCCGTGACCTTTCAAGTGGAAACCCTATGTTTTGACAATGTAACTGGTCCTCCCTGGTGGCTATGATAATCTCATGTCATTATCTTCTGTACTGCTTTCAGTACCAAAATGATCGTTTCCTCTGATGCCCATTTCCCAATGTCCAGACTCTCCTACTTCCTACTTCTCATACATATTTACGTATGGGACCGCAAAGAATTAAAAAGATAGATGACAAAAGAGTCAAGCTGAAAATGTTTATGAAACCAGTGATTAGATACTGCTACCGTTTACTTGTTACACAATCTGATTGGTTCTTTGTCTATGGCGAAAAGCATTCTCTAAAGAAAACGAGGATGTCTGCAAAAGAAATGCTAATACAAGTCATGCTGCGAAAGGAAGAAAGGAAGCGTGACATTGAAGATGAATCCCTATGAAGAGAAGGATATTATCAGGGTTTGAAATGTAATGAACCAAAACAGATCTATCTTATTTCAAATATAAGAGAAAAATTTTTGGTGTTGTTGAGCCCCATGATAGCGCTCTCAATCTCCCACACAATTCGGGATCCCACTCCTTAATCTTCACTACGCTACCTAGGAGGGATGGAAGTTAGTTTGGAATAGTGTAAGTCCTGCTTTGGATTCACGGGTACACGGAATAGCGCTATCCACCTATCCGATCTTAACATTGAGATTTCCTTTTAGTAGCATTGACCGACCCAAATTTTCGACCTCAGTACATCTGACGAAGTAAAACCATCTGCAGTCAATTTCGATGGTTTCGTCTCGTTGGCTGCAGGTAGATATTCTGGTCTTCACATTATATAGTCCTTCTCTTCCCCCATGCCGTGATGGTACTACTACCAAATAATTCTACTTTAATTGACCCAAGTAATCCCCTTCTTTTGAAAAAAACCAATTAAAATTTCAGAAAAGTTGAAGAATAAAGTCGTCGGCGTTAAAAAACCGGATTTTGATAGTTGGGATAAGCCCTGTGGTAGCCAACCTATTCGAATGGTTTATCCTCCCAGACGAGTCGTGTACCAGATGAACGACCCCGACGAAGTGGAAACCTCGATTGGCCAGGGCAGAGATCGAGTAGGGGTGAGGCATCCCTTCGACGAGATTAATCAAGGCCCAAAGACCTCGATGCATTCTCTAAAAAGTGATCAAAAGCCCTAGTACGTTCCAAAAACCTTCTCACTGATTTGAAAGGAGGAGGGAAACCCATATCCCAGTAATCCTTGGGAGTTTTATAGATGAGCCCTCAATCTCATTCACCTTCATACTGTCTATAACTTTTATTTGGATAAACCAAGGCTGCCAGGAAAATGAGTCCGACAAATGGGTATTCACCGATAACAAAGGGTAAAAAAAATCTTCAAAATACAGACGAGTGCTTACCTTAGGTTTCGTACCTGCACCGCCAGCTTTCGAATGAACCCTTTCATCAGCCATCGATCGGAATTTCTGCATGAGAGCACTACAAACAACTAATCTTAGAGANAAAGAATAGCTGGAGAGCAGTGGAAAAACTTGAAGATTCAGATCTGAGCTCATCCAGGAGTGCTGGAGGTACCGTAGTCGGGCTGGCCACTAACAATGGTGGGCGGTATCGTAGAGAAAGACTAGAACAAAAGCTCGATAACGAGCTTTGATTTGGTCAATATGGATGTCTGGGGAGGGCGATCCCCCATCTGGGTATTTTTTAGGGCTAGCAAATTGGCTTAACTATGATCCTGAGAACAAGGAAAGATATAAATAGTTCTCAAAATTCCGAAAATAGTCGGATTGAATCCCCAGAGTTCCCAGGAAGGGTCATCATCGAGAAGAAAAAACAGAGAAGGGAGAAGGTTGGAATGAACATGGTCTAACCAACCCCCAAAGGAAGCCAAGAGGTCCGCAAGTTGTCATAAAAGCCCAGGAAACTGTTCGGGTGCTGATTGACCCATCAATGAGTTCAACGTTATTCAAAAGACATTAAACGGTCATGACAGGGCTAGGTGTTATCTGAAGAAGCGTGAGAATGTCAAGTGGTGCGAGATTACCATATGCATGTCAAAGGGCGGGATTACGGTAAGAGAACACGAGTGGCTGGCGGATTAAAGACAGCCTTTACATGCAGCGCGACGGCCTCTCTTGTGTTGCTAAGCGTTAGCCGAGCTGTTGGAGCCGATTCGAGTGAGAAGGACACTCTTAAGAGCTCCTTTGTGATCGCAACGACGATTGCGACAACGCTTCAAAAGTCGAGTTGCTCGAGAATATTGAACAGTTGTCCGAAACGAAAGGGAATGTTAGAGAGCAAGGGATAGCTATTAAATTAACCATTCACCCATTACTTTGCTTATGCTTATTCGGCTACTGGCCGAGCTCGAACCGAACGGGCAGGTTTTAATTGTTCAAAATGCTCTCACAATCAGAACACCGAAACATCGGGCNTCTTAAGAGCTCCTTTGTGATCGCAACGACGATTGCGACGACGCTTCAAAAGTCGAGTTGCTCGAGAATATTGAACAGTTGTCCGAAGTGAAAGGGAATGGTGGAAACCAAGAGGTAACTATTAAGGGATAAAGGATAAAGTCTTTGGGCGTTGATCAATCCCGTCAGAGGGATGCGCCCCGCATTCGACATCCATTCAGAATCGTAGTGGCATATTGAATCGCACATACATTGAGCAGATCGAACGAATTTGATAGCGCTTGTGGACAGATCGGGTTGAGGCCTAACTCAACGAAGACTGTTTCTGTGAGAAACGATTTGGCATCTGATGCTACCTTTACGCTGAGCAGAACGAATATCTCTTCTAATGCTCTAGCTACGTGTTTCCAGGTCGGGAAGTCAGCATGATGAGCGACCTAGCTCCAGAGCTGAAAAGAAGGAAAAGCACTGCGTGGGGAGCATCTAGGAAAATCGAGGGAGTAGTGAAGAGGGCGAAGAACATCTGTGCTCACCTTTTCGATATTGCGGTCCTTTCTGCTTTGACATACGCCTCAGAGACTTGGTCTTCACGAAAGCAGGATTACATATCTGATTGATATGAACGCGCCCATGACCTAAACTGATTTGATGTTCGACTTACAATTCATGAAGCGCCACCAATACTTTGTTCATACAGTAAACTTTTCTCACTATAGAACTACCGTTTCCCTGTGCACGACTGTTTGATTCCTGGCATATTTTTTCCCTCTTCATAGCGTGCTGGTGGTATAGGCATTTGTAAATGAGAGAACATATGACCTCCAAGGCGAACGTTTCGGAAGTGGCTTGGAATAAAACCCTNTGCATCAAATCAAATCAACCAACCTAAATCATCGGTCATCGTTTTTGTGAGAGGAGGTTTGTTAGTGGCAAGTGGCGCTCTATCACATGCTCATTCTCTAGAGATCGAAACCAAGATTGATTCCGTACCAGACTCGTCTGGGAGGATAAAAACGCTGATTTGTAAATTGGCTGGGTGCTACAAGTCTTTGAGTAGGCCGCATACGCCTTAATAGCCATTACGGTGTTGAAGGAAACTCGAAAGCAGGGCGGGTTTCAAGAAATCGCTGATTATGCCAAAGACTTTACCTTAAGATTTTATGGTTTTAGCTGCAGTAACTTTAGCTGTTCTGGATCTATCGGGATGTCAAAAGAACACTAGGATGGTCAGACTACCAACGTGACGGTCAGACTACTTTACGGTACTCTGATCGATAGAAATTTTTTGCCTCGTGTTCCTCCAGTGAGTACGATTTGCTGGACTACTGCTGGTGTCAGGGAAGGATGGAATTACTGGCGCTCACTCGAGAAAATCGATGATCAACGGGACGACAGGTGGTACAGGTAATAGGTGAACTTCAGCTGTTCTACGTAAATTACTACTGATTAGAAGGTGTGGCTCTCTTAAGTACTTCGTAGAAAAAACTTAAGTGCATCGCAATCCGCTAGAGGTACCTCCTGGTACCTGAATGAAGTCTCTGAGCTGTTTATAAAGGCCTCTGTTCTACCGTATTCTACAATCTTTCTCCATGACTTTTCCGTTTCAACTGCTGTCATACCATAAAACATGGGGGGAAGTATCTCACCATCCTATTATATATGGATAAGGTGGTCTGTTGGCTTGTCTATGTGTATGTGTATGTCTTTTGGTGTGTATATATATGTGTGTGTTGTATGAGTGGATATATGGGGTGTAGAGGGTGCAAATATTATAGAGCTGAGTGGTGGACGACCCTTCGAGAGCTTGCATCATGTCATCTTCGTAGAATTTCGATTCTAAACTCTATGACGTTATTCGGACGACTTCTGACCCCAACATCTAGGTCTCGTTTCTTGAAGAATTTACTGACAGTCATGAATGCGTCGTGCTTCAGCAGCCCCAAATTACGGTTTATCATCTCTTTAAGTACCAACTGACATTCTTCAAGCCGCTGTAGGACTGTCCAGTTCTCCCCTTTACAAGCACTTTTTTGCAATCCGAGCAGCTGAGGTTTTCATTGACCATTCCAATACTCAGAAAACCTTCCTCAATTCAGATCTTTCATTAACAGCCTCTAAGCTTTACATGCATCAATTTGAGCTCGCAATTCCGAGGATTTTTTCTTCCCGTTCCTCTCTCGGTAGTGAAGCCTTCAGGTGCCCGTTAAGATCTTGGGAGTAGTAGATCTTTAACAGTTTCAGGATATCAAATTGGGTCACCTTTTCGAATTTAAGCATTCATTCTCATTCCAGGGCCGCATCATGAAAGCGGGACAGATAACGCTGAGAAAAGGCAATCTCAGTCTTGGCATGCATCGGAAGGATTTTCCTATCTTCTCGAGTTGAGCAAACCGAAAGTGTTCGCCATGGTCGCACCAGTCCGTTGTACCGTTGCAGACAGTAGACAAGCCCTTATATCAGTGATTCAGCGAGCACTTTGATACTTTATTGAGGCATTCAATATTTAAATATTAACAATAAAAATTAGCATTCCTACTAACAAAGAAAGGTAGACGAATTGCCTGAAGTGGCTGGACGAGTTGCAGTAGTCATTGAAACAGACGCACTTCAATAATCGATAGCCAAGGATTGATGTTTGCTCACACCTGTCCACTCCTGAATCATCGGAAGAAGGGTACAAGGAATATAGTCAAAACGGAAAAATAAGCAGCCTACCTCCAAATGGTAAAATAGCGCATCCTTGAATCATTGTTACAGTATGCCTGTCTTGGTCTTGAAACATTCCCACTAAACAGTTACACAGATCATGAGTTGTTCATCAGCTAGTCTTCCCCAAAAAGGGAGAGAGTGTATGAGGTACAAGGAGAAGAGGGGGAGATGGTAGGAGGGAAAAGGGGTAGAAGGGATTAGATCAGGAATTAAGAACTGGATTTATTAAATTGTAATTCTCTTGGCGCAGCTGGTGTATGTAGTGTCAAGTGGTGCATTGTCATGCACGCATGGTCGTGAGTTCAATATCCGCCTGAGCCTACCCAGCTTTCCATTCCGGGTTCGGTTTATTGGAACCAAACTCGACTGGGAGGATAAAACCACTGACGCGTTCATCGGCTGGCCACCACATGTCATTGTATAGGCCACATACGCACTCATTACGCGTGCGGGCGAAACCCGCAGACAGGATTGATCAACTTAAAAAAATCTTTTAATTTCTTTATTCCTAAGTAGACTGTTTCACACTACGGCCCTGAGGGGCTATTTTAGGATGTATTCCCCTTCCTTCTAGAAAAATTCAGCAGTATCAAATTTTATGATGGTTTTGGTGACAAGCTCTCAGGTAATCGGTGATAGGGTCCGGACGTAGCAGTTTTCTAATTTCTGGTTGCTATTTAACTTACATTTATCCACTCCTCCTGAGTAAGCGACAAGTTTAACGCATCCAAAGAATCCGTACTGGCATGACGTTGCCGTATACCGGCACTGTGCACCTTGTACTGAAGTGCACTCATAACAGGTGATACAGAATCCAGGTGAAAACTGAACCAAGAGTAGAATGGACCTCACAAAGCCCTTCATCACCTGAAGCAGATGTTACCATTACTACGACAAAAATTGATGAAGGAATTAGCTCTTATAATGAAGCATTATAGCAATTGTATAATTAAAATCATTACTATAAGACACAGGCGAAGGAAATAATCCTTTAAAAAGAAGAGTTCACTAAACTAAAAATGTAGTAAATCACGTAGGGTGCTTAGCTCCAGTTGAATATATCTTAATCTAAATATAATAATATAATCTATCTAAATAAACTAGCAGAATAAGGTAAAGAGTAGTTAAATTACATAGTTATGTGAAACTAACCTAAAGAGTACAGGCTTGGGTACACACCTGAACATCGATTATGCCTGGACAGCCATGCTCCGCAACAGATGACCAGTACCCATTCATCGTTTGTTTGATCTTCAATATACGGTTACGTCTGTGGCCAGTATGACTCGTCCTTTTCAATCACCTCCGGCCGTGTTTACCTAGAAGAACGCTCCGAGTGGGCTTCTTCCTATGTACCGTGGACCACGAAATTCATCTTTTCCCTCTTCCCTTCCTCTTCTGACCATAACAGGATGTCGAACGCACCTACGGGCTCCAAGCTCGAGTCTTCCTGAACAAAAGACAGGTATATTCATTTCGTTTTCTTGGTCCATTTGCCCACTGCAGCTCGTCGCTGATCAAGTTCTGAAAACGTCAAAATAAATACTGATTGTAGTAGGTCGACGTGATTTCTTCCCCTCTACAAAAATAAAAAACATCAAATAAGCTTGAAATTTCTCAAATTTTTTTCTTTTTCATCCCAAGGTCAGTAAAAGATTCTCAACTACAAAAATGTTAGACACAATTCTTAACTACAAAAATGTTAGAAACTGGTTGGCTTCGCCGAAATGTCAACGCACATTCCCTATGATGTCCCAAGTCCTGGTATAGGGGACGTCATTTTGTCACTCAAGTACGAAGCAGTCATTTTTTTACCTTTTATGGAGTTAGGTAAAATTTTCAGTAACTACCGAGTAGTTTTGACAAGAAATGTTTGACGTCAGTGTTCATACCGGAAATTTGAACTTGTTATTCGCGTTCTCAGACGAGGGAAATCCGTCTGAGCACGCGAATAACATAAAAACACTTTAGAGGAGAATTATTGATAATTGGGTCCACGTGTTGAACTTTTGTTTGTTTGGTACCTGAGCACGCGAATAACATAAAAACACTTTAGAGGAGAATTATTGATAATTGGGTCCACGTGTTGAACTTTTGTTTGTTTGGTACCTCATTATCTAACCATAACATGGGAACTTGCTCACTTATCCGGTTTTGTCGATTTAACCACCCTATGACAAGATAAACAAGCGAGTCTCAGGAGTGTCCCAAACTGTGACATTAGGTTCGGCTTTGCCAGTGGACAAAGAATTTCTCGCATAAGCCTTTGTAAAAAGCTATTTGAGTGGGTGACAAAAAACACGGGTATGAAGCGTAGGGAAGGGATCATTGAAAACATCAAGCCTCAATCGTCTTATATGTTCGAGGTGCCCGTCAAGAAGCGATTTAAGTTGTTATTGCCTACCAGGAAGTTGTCGTTGCCTACACAGGAATGGGCAATAACAACTCGAATTGCTGACTCCGCCCAACAATCTGTGGCATTTTTTCACCTAATACGGTATATAAACAGTTTTCGCCAAAACATCCACTTCTATCACCAGAACTCATTTTTATTACCTCTTCAATAACATTTATACTGACTACCGTAATCGCTCTAAGTCAAGTGTGGGTTCTTTTACCCGTAGGGCGCTCTCTACACTCGATCGGGCACAGTCGTGCGCTTTGGAGGGGTAGTTTTTAATTTTCATTAGGAAATTACGGTAATTGCCACGACTCCACTGCCTCCTGCCATTGGAATTCGGTAACAAGAACTACCCCCTCTACGCCCAGTATAAACGCAAGTAGTGGAGCTAGAGATACTGCAATTGACGATGCCCCGTTCTAGAATTAATAATAACATTTAAAATACTCTCTGCCACTGGAATTTGAGCCCAGCATTACCATAAGGCCAGCTGATCAGTTTGAGCATTTAGGTGAAACTTGCTCCATCTAAGAATGTTCGCATTATAACTACTTCCCAAACCCTCATATGTATCACTGCACAATACCTAATAGGAACTAGCTGTCAGGGGCAAGATCATGTGGGGTGATTAACAACCAGAGGCTCTACATTTTGAGAGGAAGACTGCCTCAGCGATGGGCTGAAAGGCTGAATTCCGGAAAAAATACCTTCTTTTCCAACTTCCCACTGTAAACAGCCTTCTAAAAGTCAGATGGACATTGGTAAAGTGATTCAGTGAGAAGTTGAAGGGAACGGGTGAAGGAGCTCAGGCTCTACCTATCCCCCTAGCCGAGATACCGTAAATTGATGGGTGCTGTGTGCTGGTGCACAGAAAAATTTAGAACAGACGAGGCCGACCACCTTCAAAACGCGGGAGCTCCGGCATTTCGAAAAGTCTCTTCCTCTTCTTACTTTTCTAACTGGGTTTGTACGCTAGACTATGGTATGTCACTGTTGGTTACTCTAACTTTCAAAAGGTAATGAATGCCTCCAAAGGCCTGGCTTGTATTACACCACACGGTGATGATAGCACTTGTATTCCATTATTTGTTTTATTTTTTTCATTTCAGGTGTTTTTTCTCAATCACAATAGCCAAGCATGTGTGATATGATGTGAGTTACCTGAATTTTTTTCATCTTCTTGTTTAATATTGACAAATAGGATCCTGTCGGGGTACATCTTTCAGTTACCCAGTCAAAAATTTCTCATCCTTAATTTTTTAAGGTAACGTCGTTATGGGGCGGGCTTTATTGGAATGAAAGTCATGTGGAACCAATTATTGAAGTGTAGTGTGATCTGTCTCTCTTTAAAATGCTTTCATGTCAGGGACTTCTACAAAGCTGAGCGAAACCGTGTTTTATGGCTTCGACAACAGAATACCGACGATGACACAGCTACAGGTAAGCAAGATGTAGCCTTCAGTTCCTTCCGTCTTCATTAAGATTCCCCCATTATTGTTCCTACAAGTCAGAAAAGATGAAATGAGGAAATTCTGTTGGGACCCTAGCCGGTTCTGCGCGGAAAATATAAACGGTTGACTTCTAGCCCCTTCTAGAACCACATTTTGTTCGGCTAACTCGTCTGAAGATTTCTCTGGAATACCTATTGAGTATTAGGACTAGGCCTTGTAGTTAGTGAGCTTGAGTGAGTTGATGAAAGAATGAACTAGACTTTTCTTTGTTATTCTTTCATTTCCTATCAGTTTCTCTTTTTCAGCCACAGTATTCAGTTTCTCTTTTTCAGCCACAGTAGAAAACATGGATTTGGATGTGATGAGTGATGAAAATGTTGCAGATGAAACGTGTATTTTCACCGTTCTATCGAAATCTGGTATGTTCACTTCTTTTAGAAGCTTATAATACCTTTTTTGTTGTATTTGCTGGCTATGATCTGGAACGCTTCTGTTCTGAAGCTCAAATTTACGGTCGTTAGTAGGCCTTTCCTTCTCAAGTGAGCTGGGTTAAATCTAAAACAGTAGGACAGATCTTCTTTAAACAAGATAACCCTTTATTTTCATAGGTACTCTGAGTAATATACGTAGTCGGATATTAATCTACTTGTTATGTTCAACTTAATAGATGTCTTGTAATACATCTTGAATATCTTGAACTTGGCGGTCTTTGTAGTGGATGGAATCAAGTGTTTCGTTGTTTTTGTAATTATGGTTGGTTGCTTTTTCAGGGCATAAACGACGTGCTCAATCGGATTTACCTATTCTTATTACAAGTGGAAAGCGAGCAAAAGTTGCCTAGTTGTCTTTTCCTTACTTGTATATTCGGTGCTCTCAGAACTACTTCGTCAGGTCGACCTTTCCTTAGCGTTACTCTGTATTCTATTTCGTTGGTTTTCTGTTATGATCATGGCAAATCCTATTTTGATCTTGTAACCTTGTAAGTTGTAGGTTTTTGTGACTTTTTTGCACTTGTTGAAATTCGAGGTCATCGTTTTATTGGACTGATCTTTGATGGGTCTCTAACATTAGATAGGGGGTATACCTCTGCAGCATATTGATGAAACGAACTGAACTGCCGTTTGTGGTGTTGAACCTATTGCCAAATTCAGTATAGTTGTCACGAAAATTTTTGGCGTTCATCAAACCCGTTTTCTGGAATGCGCCCCGTATACAAGTAGGTTGCACAGTCCAGAAAATGAAGTAATGTATGATGCAATCGGGTAACTCACCAGTATTCTTAGAAGTGTCATCATTTCACTGTCATTTTCTGACTTTTATTGTTCTGTATTGCTTACTCTTTATTCCTTCATGTAGGTATTCATGCTAGTTAATTGATTGAACTTCCCTGACAGCATGAAGCTTCTGTCTCGTCTTACTGTGCTGTTTACGTGCAGATATTATTGGACATTCTTTAATTCGTGGAGACCTCTGTACTTCTGTATTACCTCCTCTAGTTTCTATATGGAAATGTTATTTTTACGAAATGCAGTGTTTTATGAATAGTTTTAGTACGAATACGGTTTTTCCTTGAAGGTTTCGATTACATATTCTTGGTTGTTTATTGCATATACATATGTCTTAATAGATTGCTGCAGTACAACCGGTATTCGGTCTGGAATCATTGCGCGTAGAAAATACTACTTCGAGAAGAGGTATGCCACCACTTTTCCGCATTCATTCTTCTTTTCAATTCTGGACTTAGTAATTATAAATGTATTTGTTGAAGTAATACAAAAACATGAACCTGTGATGGTATTGATCATCCAAACATCTTTTTTGAACCAGATTTCCGGGTTCCTGAATACATAGTTGTTCCTGAAGGCATTTTATTGAATAGGCATAAAAGAGCTTGCAGATAGGAGCACTTCCTCTGGTCATGGGTGTGAGAAAGTGCTCCTGTTAATAATCTCTTTTAAGCCTATCCAATAAAATGTCTTGAGAGATCGTCTAAGTGTTCATGAACCCGGGTATCTGGTTCAAAAAAGGTATGAGGCTATTCTTGGGATATTGGTAATCGTTTACAAATATCCTATTCTTCAGACTATTTAAAAGTGGTACAACATTATCGCTGGCAGCGACAAATCTAAATAGTATGTCGTCCTTCGTGGATAGGATTTAGAGAGGATGGCAATTTTCGATGGTTTACGTTCACAGGAACATCTCATCAATATAGGCACCTAGCGCTAATCCGACTTTCATTTCTTATTGTTGAAAGAATTGAGGCGGAAATTTTTATTCATTACCCGTATAATTGCCAGCCTTCTGTTTTGAAGAAACACATTTGAAGCATGACAGTTAAAACGATGAAAAAAAAAGACAACAGAGAGTATCCTCAGTTTGCGTATGAAACCATATGTAGTCCTATACGTATGAACATAGAGAAATAACTTAGATATCATTCTATTGTAAGAGATGCCTTTGAAATTGAGGCGCTGAGGCAGTAACACCCTATTATCGACTATCGGCGATATAAGTACCTGGAAGGCAACGCGGCTATCAAATTAAAAATTACCGGTATAATCAAAAGGCCATGAATCATGCCGATAAGCACGACGAGTAACATGCATTGGGCGAAGATCTGGAATAAAATCGGATTTGATTTTTGAAAATTCAAAAAAAAAATGGGAGCTTCTGCTCGGAAGCGGCTAACTTACCCTTGACATATGTAACTGGACAAAGAACAGGCTAAGAACACAAAGAGTCGTGGACAATGAGGCCTGCATGATGGGGAATCCAACAGCAGCGACGGTCTTTTTCAAGCGAGTCTTCACACAACTGGTCTCCTTCGCTGGAAGGATCACTCAGTGAGAAACATGTGGCCAACGGCTTAGAAAGGAAGTGAATCAATGGCACTAACCTGTTTGATAGTAGTGGTAACTAATGTGTGATGGTATATCGACAGAAAACCCGATACTCATTACGGTAGCGGACATCATGATCGGATCAAGATCAGCTCCCATCAACGACATGATGCCAAACACTCCTGGAAACGAGAATAGAGATTCGGGAGGTTCGTGTAGGTAGTGGTCGGGGGAACCAGGAACTCAGCAGACCTATGCTTGTGCTCAGAATACTGAGCGTGGCGACGAACAGCGTAGGTGGATGGGAAATGAACAGAACGGCCACAGCGAACATCGAAACAAAAGTGAACAGAGCCGATTGCATTGAAATTGGTACCATCGTCTCAATCAAATCCAAAAATTTGGCGTCATCCTCATAAACGGACACTTCGAGATCGGAATACTGTAAAGCATTGACTTACTCATCAATCCTTAGGGAATCAGACGCAATGAACGAACCTTGTCAGCGAGAGCTCTCCACTGATTCAGAAGAGCTGCCCGACTTGACCATTCTGTAAGTTCCTCGCCATGAAAAGCCGTTGTAAAGAAAAATCTTGACACCTTGTACTGCTTTCTGAAAATGGTTTAAGTTGAAGTTCGTAGGATAGTATTCAACTCCCCATACTGTATCATAAGGTTACTTTGTGCTCCCCAGTTTCACCCATGAGCACGTTGACGAGCGCCCAAATAACCTCAGTCCAATCACTAGGGACGATTTACAGCCGCATCGTGCCTAAGAGTCAAAGTCTGACTTCTGAGAGTTTGGGAAGAGGATTAGATCCAAATTGATCGAGAAAATCAGGAAATCATGGAATTAGAAAGCTAGTGAAATATATTGGTCAGGAATGCGGAGGTCGTGTAGTAGCAAGAGGCGCACCTCACACCAACTCGTCTGGGAGGATAAAAAAAGCTGGCCTGTACATCGACTGCCCACCGTAAGCCACTGTTTAGGCCACATAGGTATTCAATTCGTCACTTCTATTCTGAATAGAAATCGGATGCTCTTGAAGGCACGGCAAGTCCCACACAGTACCATAACGCCGTAACCGCCAAGGTTGTGGTACCGTGGCCCTAGGCCCCGTGAATAGTGTGCAGTGACCTTACAACCTCAACTACCCCTACACCTCGCTCAAGGTTCCTTCATTACTTCATGTTGCGTCTTACAAGTGACGGACGTCCGCTTGCGCCTCAGTATGTCATCAAATCACCACACACTCACGGAATTAGGAGTTCCGGTATCTTCCCCCCGAAAGCGGCATCGCGCACGCCGCACCTGTCGCGTACCGCAGGATTGTGGTGGAAGATTGGAGCGCGCAATCTTTGATGTAAGAAGTCCTTTAATTATTTGATTAGGCTAGCCGCTCCCTTCAATTTCATTGCGGTCTTGGTCGCTGCTATTATAGGAGGAGTCATCTTATAATAATTAATCGAGTCCAATAAACATAAAAACGAAAAAGAAACAGAAAAAAATAACAATTCCTATAAAAAAGAAAGACGATCAACGTAAAATACTGCGTCCCATCGATTGGCGGAACGGCCAATGAGCACGCGATTGCAGTAAGGTTTGCCGCATGCCGCAAAGCAAAAGTCCGCAACCGGAGGGAATTCCCGCTACTACGGTTTGAGACAAAAGAGGACTCTCAGAGGGTTGTTATTGCCCAATATACTCCTCCAGTGTGCCGTATATGCAAAGGGTTTTTCTCTGTCGTTTAAGATGACTTAATACTTCTTTGTATAACAAAAACTAGGTTGTCGTTAGCAAATGAATTCCCAATGATGCAGGTTGATTTACTAAACTTTTAAGGCACATTTCCTTGCTGGTTTGAAAATATATGAAGCGTTATTCTACTGACCCAGATTGACTCGGTTCCACCTGTAAGAATCCTTTCCAAAACGAGAATTCAGGCCATTCAAGAAATTGCTTCAGCTCGTTACCTTCCGGTTTGCTCACTGATGGAAACATCGAGCTGGAAAAGAGGTGACCGATACACATTGAGGGAGGTCTTGGGGAAAGGCCAGGGGCATTCACATACCTTCCGTTTTGCGAGAATTCGATGCCTGTACCAATCATTTCTTCGAATTCATCAGGATTTTCGAGTTCTTGTCCTTGTTTATGGAAATCTTCATAATCCCGTAACCAGAATTTGGTTGAGTACGATCCTACCGAGTTGGGTAAGCTTTCGAAATCTTCAACCTGAAAAAGATTAAAGAAATTGCGATAGAAATTAAAGACCTGATTCACTTTTGGACATGTCTAGGGTTCAGTCTGGTCAGCTTATATTTACTAAGAAGGTAAACGTAAACAAACAACATGACCACCCCCGGTCTGTTTCAGTGATGAATTTTTGAGTAAACATATTTCAGGTCATTTGCACGAAATGGCCCCTCCCATCACACAGGTTCCACCCTTAAGCCCTAGCACATGGCTTACGATAGATTCTGCTTCGTCATTCATATAAGAATTATTATGATTCGAGAGCGCGAGCGACCTCTCTCACATTCCGGAGGAAATTATTTGAGCTGCCTGTACAGTCCCAAAGGGACAAGAAAAATTTGTTCGTACTGGGCTGAGTTGTCAGCTAGCCCCACTGCAGTTGTCTCTCTGGGCCAGGATCTCTTAGAGATGCCTTTTTCCACGAGGTGAAACAGCCCTCCTGTACAGGAAAGAAAGGTCTCGGTATTATTCCACAAGGGCTCCTTCATGCGACCTTCTTGTCTCTTTCTTCCTCCTTTTCCCCTTCCCTCTAGTGAGGCGTCGACAAAGGATTCGTGCCTAGTCGCAATAGTCATGGAAGGTGGTATAATTCCAAAAGAACGAAACTCAAAAGTATACCAGGTGATGTATCCGCTTCGAAATTGTCTCATTCATAACATCTCCGGGATTCTTGACTAGTACCCAGCATACACTGTAGTAGGTAGAAATGTACTGTTTCCGTGCATCGAATATCTAAACACTTAGGTTATTAAGGGATCGTAGCTCTGTACAGTCACGAAAATTCGAATTCTTGAGATTACGGTAAGAATTTCAGTATCAAAATCTCAAAAAGAAAGTTTCATTGTTCCATAAAATGTTATAAAATAACTGGAGATGATTGCTTAGTAACAGGCGCAGTAATAAAAGTGCGAAATTCTGGTGGGATTGTGGTAGAAGCCAGCATCTCTATTGAACTTTCGTTCCTGTGAGCTGTTCTAGAAACAGGGTTAGGTGTCTATTGAGGAATCCTCGACCTGGAGGGGTCGTGTTTTTGGCCCTCTAAGGAGAAAGTTGGTACCATTTCGTCGTCGCTTTTGTAGAATATGGAAAAACGGGAGATTCCAGTTGAAGGGAAGGGGGTAGGAGATCCTACGGCCAGCCTACACTTATTCGACCGCACTCGGTTTTTTCTTCAAAACGGCGAGGCTGGGAAGGAAGGGGCTGTATAGGGGAGCACATACTCTCAAACCCTAATGCAAAGTTGAAGGCACACACCTTGACCAAATCCGAATTCGAAAGGAACAGCTTGTGTGGACTGAGTTCGGGTTTGATATTGATAGTGCCGACAATAGAGATATACCTGAATAATTTTAATTTACAAGGCTGATCGAGCATAATCAGACAAGGTTACCGTACCAGTAAACGGCTAACACTGCAATGACCAGCGACGAGAAGTATTTGTTCGAAATCAAGTCACAGTAAGCGTCAAGGATCCTAAATATTCGAAGTATAACGTCGAAGATGTAAATGTGACGAATAGAATGTAAACCCACGAACCTGGTTCCCATTGTCGATTCCTCGATGGTCGCTGAACTTTTCTCTGACGGTATTTGATCACAGATCGCCGGTTTCTCGTTCATCTCCTTTTCGATTTCATATCGTCCAACGATCACCATTAGGGCGGCATATATGGTAATCTGAATGGATCTAACGATGCCTTCTAATTCCAAACAACTNCTAGCAATCACTGAATCAATAACGATCAATTATTTTTCAAGTCTTAGCGATAAGGACAATGCGCTCTGAATTATAAAGCAGATCTCGTGTCTTCAAAGTCAACACTTTTTGTGATGTTGACCCCGCCACTCAGTTGTTTTTGTCAGATAAGCCCTTCAGAGATCCCTCTTTCTTCCTTACCCGATCTCCTGTATGTTCTGCCTTTACCCTGACTGCCGCTTACTACAGATGGATATCCATTATTACCATTCCCATGTGGGATCTGGAGTGGGATCCGAACACTACAGAATTGGGACTTTCTGAGGGCATAGGGACGGATCTCATTCTTTTGTTTTAACTCCAAGTTCACTATCAATAATAACCAACTCCATCCCACTCATTTACCTGAAATATGAAATCGACGACGACAGCCAGGGCATTGCCGATACTGAAGAGCTGAATTTCTGGTGTAGGAGTGAAAGCACCGATTCCGAACGCCAGTACATTGGTAATGGTGGTGATGGAGACCTGAGAAAACGGATTCGGATGAGATTTCTGAGGTAAGGAAAGTTCGAAGACAGAAAACTCACAGATGGACCGGTCTCGACCAGCATTTCCACTATTCTATGACGAATTTCAGAATCCAAACTGTCAGCAGGGGTCTTCCTAAAGAAGTGATGGAGGTGTTGAATATGAGCAAAAGTGGTCACTTACTCGCTAGCACTCACACAGGGGCTAATACATCACCAACGACTAGGACATGGGGCTTTATTCCGCCGTGGCTTCGTATAACCGGTCGCTCATCAGGACTGCTTGGCTGACAAATCCAACTTCCACAACCCCTGAATCCTGACTTTAGAGATCACGAAAAGCTTGCGTGACCCGACCGAACAGGCTAAGGTTGAACCACGGCGGAAAGTAGTCTGGGGGAATTAAGTAAGTAACAAACCTCCTATGGGTGGTAATCCTCTGCCAAGCATTCATCATCAGGTATGCGTCGTCGACTCCGATGGCCAAGACGAGGAACGGTGTAACGCATAGGATGGAACCGAATCGAAAACCACACCAGAACATCGCTCCAAGAGTGGCTCCACAGGCCATGAACGGACATACACATGCCATTACCGCCAGTGTTATCTGAATCAGAAGTCCTGATAAGGTTCTGGCAAATGGCATAAGTCTTTGATTATCCGAACTTTCCAGTTTTACTACAAATCAGGCTCTAATTGTTTCAAGGCGGCCCTGGGAGAATAACGGAGAGAGTTCGGTAAAGTGGGAGTTCTCACTGAGTGAGTTTTCATATTTGGATTCAGACTTGAAGGAAGTTCAATAACTGCCATAAGGGGAGTTCTGGCAGTTTCACCTTTTTTACCAACGTTTACTTATAAGGACATATTTGTGTCTTACGGTAGAACGAACCTTGTGTACGTTCATCTGTTTCAGAACGATCCCACTGATTGAGAATGTGATACAGGAAAATGTTGCCATAATAACGAATCCAATAACAAGAAACGGCAACAATGACAGTCCTGCTCTCACTGAAAGCAGTCATTGATCAGTATGATCGGCTCAGTACTCAAAAAGTATTGTCTTACCTATTTCCGATGTTATGAACGAGTCGGTCAGTACGTAAACGGAAATGAAGTCGCTTTTGTAGAAGCTAAGTTGAAAAGGTTTAGAGAGACCTGCGATTGACACACTGTCTTCGAGACCCCCAGAAAGGCTTTCCCGGAATTTAAGATTCTAAGGAACACGCCTCTGCCAGTATATAATGATAATGGGGTGAAATCTTCCGTGAAGATTCAAAGGAGACCAGTACTAGTATCTAATAGGTAAGCAATTTGCCCCTTTGTGAATGGTGCAACCTCCTCAACGCGGTTAAAAATCGTCTACCTTTGGGTGTGTCATATAGTCGAGAAAATTTTCGAGGCTCTATAACGACCTAGACTGTTTTCCATCTCGCGGTACCATATGATATATGGATGGATGAGGGAGGTGGGAGTACCTCAGATTCGTCCTGAAAGTGAACTGTGCCTCTAATGACTCTTAATGGGGGAGCACCACCATACCGCCGCTTTTGTCGGAACCCTGTCGTATATTTCCATCGTTATTCAGGAATGGTAAGCAAAAACCAAGCAGTTAATCAGATTCAGTTAGATGAAAACGAAATGAAAGACCTCCTCTTAAATCTCGCCAGATGAACTAGGGTGTAAGAGCTGCTCCCAGGGATACTGTACAACCAAACAGAAAATTCAAAGCAAAGGTCTACTTACTTTTGAAAATAGCCTACAATAGACCGTTCATAGCCATTCATATCAGTCAATTGTACATCAGATCCGATTTCGGCACGAAATTGCAAAACAATCAGAGCTACCTCGCGAATATTGTTAGGGAGCTGGTTCTAAACGTTACTTTTTTTATACTTTCATTATGTGAAGTGCTGAAATCGTTTATAAGCCTTTCGTACTATTAATATCTCATTTGTAGGTTTACTCAACGATTACTTATTGAATCAGTTGTAATTGCTGATATAACTATCACAGAAAATCTAGACTACAGTACACAAAACAACTAAACTAACCACAGTACCATCACTGATATACCTTCTCACTATTCATTCTTTTGTGTAACATCCTTTTCTCTTTTTGGCTAAATTATTCGGGTCCCTAATATTCTCTCCACTGTCCATTGTTCAATGAATCGCTGGATCTTGTCGTGTGGCCCAAGGGCCATGACGCGTTCTCACAGAAGTCCAAAATTACATTAAATGTCAACTCCCCGATTTCTGGGCACTCCAGGTATCCTCGTACTATAATATAAGCCGATGAAAAAGATTTTCAGATTTGTTGCACGAATGCAGTATTAAAAATCACTTCAGCGAGATTGGTGGAGTAAAATTTTATGGGACCCCTCTTTCAAAAAGAAAAAAAACAGCAATAGTTCTATCGCTATGACGATTACAATGGGGGCAGAGGAATTCAAAGTTGAATTATTCATTCTAAAAAAACTCCATATTCAATCGCTCTGGGCTTATGTTGCTTCTATGTTCCTATGAATAGATCACAATAACGTCCTCATCATTGAAAAAGGAACATATCAACGAGTAGTATTCCCTGGATTGGACGAGTTTCCCCAGTGAAAAGATAGTGGAATGTGTTTAGTGCCCTCTGAAGTGGGGCGAATGCAGAGTTCTCGGCTCTGAACTGGTTTCTGTTGTTGTCTGTGGGCCATCACTTAGATTCCCTTGAATCTCCATGGATCTTCTACGATTTTGTTAGTAGCGAAATGTGACACGCCATGAATTTGCACAAAATCGACGGCTTCTTCCTACTCGCCCCTTTGCGTGTATCTGCCGAAATAAACTCTAAAGTGCTCTTATTGAGTCGAAAAGGGAGCAGCAGGTAATCAGCTCAATCGTGCCCTTCAGGAGTTCAGCTATGTGTGAAATTTTTCAGTGTTCAGTTTTCTTTTTTTCGTAGAAATCCAGCTCTCAGTCTCAGTTCTAAACATATGAGGCTTTGACAGCTCCATGAGCTACCTATTTTGATTGGAAATTTCAACTTTAGCGCTCGGAAGCAGCATTCGAATTTGAACTAAAGGTAATCTTGGAAATGTATGGAACCCTGAAAAACCAACCTGCAACGAATCTTTATACACCCGATTGGCAGTGGATACAACAAGTTCCTCTCCCTGATCATCTTTGACGGCGATTTTCACACCAAACAGGTTGGGGTCCATAAACAGTTTCGTGCCGAGGACTGTTGTAATAGGATAGCCCAGATCCAAGTGGCGAGTATCGTTGCCATATTTGTCGGCGATCAACATGCCACTCTGAAATGTAGGCTTCGTTCTACTCGAAAGGCCACAAGTATCAGTTGCGTGACATTTCATTGCCCTACGTAAGAGGATAATTGTTAGCCAAAGTGGAACTGGTCCCTTTCGATCACAAGGGCGAAGGGCACATGCGACTCACATAGAAATGCCGAACCGGCTCGTTGAGTGTACAAAATCCTTGACAAAATTGTTCAAAATTTTTTTCGCCTTTTGAAGTCTGCAGATAGAAATCATGTGATATTTTGTCGAGGACCTGGAAAAGAATATTCGAGGTAGCTCGGTAGGGAGGATACGGTAGGATACGGTAACACGATAAGATTGCATATTTGAAAATGTAAATGCTAAGGTTGAAATGTGGAACACTACAAAGGAGGTCAACACAAAATGATCTCATTTACATGAGAATGAACCATCGAAAAGCATCGAAATGAAGGAGAAAAATCAGCTTCTCCGAATTTATATCCGGAAAATTTGGGGAAAAAATTGTTGACTACAGGGCTACCTGTGGAAGAGAATTTAGTAACTTCTGGTTACCTGATCATCTTGAAATCGAGAAAACCAAAGGCAAAAGCAACAATTATTCTGCAAAAATTCTTTCTTTTTTTCGAATATTTAGAACCCACCTTTACCGTCTCATTCAAGTGTGATGTTTTCAACAGATTCCCTCCATCTTTAGCATAGACGAAAGCGTAGATCGCCTTTGGTTCTCCACGATTTGAAAAGAACTCGCGATAGATCTGAAACAAATCAAAAGTACAGTGAAAGATAAAGAGCATTTCAGTCCCCAAGTCATCAGTTTCTTACGAAAGTTATTTTTTCTCAGTTGGGTGCCCGAGACGTCCTACAGGACTCGTGAAACGGGCTGGATTTGAAATACAAGTTCTTTCCCCGTATGGACAACTAAGGGAAACCTTCCTCTTATTTGCTTCGCATGATGAAGTAAGTTTATGATGGTGCCATTAGAGAACAAAGTAAAAAGATGAACGATTCATCGATGAAAAAAATCACAGAAACATATTCAAGTGGGTGTTTCGAGTGAGAAAGTCGCACGTGAGTAGACACGGCCGTCAGTAGGCGGTCGTACCTTCGGGAGCTTCATCCTGTCTTGAATGATTCGATGCATCGCTGCCATTTTTTTCACCTACTCAACACTGAGGATTCTCTTTGTAGTCACTTCAGCGCTTACTCAATAAGTTAACGGCAAAACCAGATTTGTGCTAAACATATCGCTAAGTACAGGGCACCGTATTGGCTATTGAACTAACCTCTGGGTAAGAGCTGTGGGTTACCGTACTCCGGGGAATTTCCGAATTTTAGACCTGATTCCGTTTAACGTTTGACAAGACCAGCTACCTCCTCATTACAGTCTCTTCTCATTTTTCACGATTTGAGGCAAATGTCACTTGATGGCTTCATTCTGTATAGACCGCTATATAGTACATACAATAAAGCTTGTCTTAACGTTTCAGAAATTTAATTTTTCAATTTTTTCAGGGTTTCTCCTAGATAGTCACCATCTATATATTTAGGGTAGAGAATGATTGAAATTCCGTTATTCGGACCTAGGCGAACCTGAGCCTGGGCCTAAAGGTGGACTACCTGAAAAGAAAGGCTGAGGCGCAAATCTATAATGTTTTGGTTTTGCTTTAATCTGTTTT